TTTTTGACTTTTCTATAATTGCTAATACTTTGAACATGTCATAGGATTTTCTGTGTTCTATGTTTCCTTAGAATATCAACGACTTGCATTGATTAGCATATCTTATAATGTGAAACATTCCTATTAGTTTGAACGTTTTTGCTTTGTAGTAATATTGCGTTAACTCGACTTCGGCAAATAAATATCCTAAAACTAAGTCATCAGCCATTCTAATATCACTGTAGTTTCTTCATTTTATAATATATTGGTTATTTGCGATATTGCGCAATCTAAAAATAATAGACGAGCTTTCTGCTTACATATCTATATGGAATATTCAGATTCAAATCGAGACCTCATTTTAAACCACTTCAGTTTTAGAAAGCGTTTATCAAGTATATATATTATTAGTATTTGCACACTGTATATAAATAAGTCCCTAAGTGAAATTCAGAATTACCGATAACTTTAGTATCTTCCCCGGTCAAGAACTTCAGTCGACAACCCCCTTTTTTATTATTAATCTATAATAGGATAGAAAGGCGTGAAAAATCAGCAGAAAGAAAACATGCGTAGTAGATTCTTCCTCGACGGACAGATTACGCTTTTTCCCAGATTTAGATTATAAGGACACATAAATTAAGTTACTTTCTTTTAGACGTGATAAGTAGCGTGTCTCATTACCTGGAGAAGCATGGTTGGAAAATCTTTAGTTGTTATTTTTTCTTATCATGAGTAGAAGATATATAAAACCGAAATTCATTGAGGTCTTAAATAGAGCAAGAGTGAAGATTGATGCAGAATAATATGAATTCATTTTATTTCGTTAGGCTTTTATCAGCTGCTTACAACCTATAACATTTTTAAAAGCAACCTTATTACAAATATTGACATACGAGGGTGACCAAAGGTGATTATGTGTATCATGATGTAGCGAAGATTTCAATAGAGTTAATAAGGTCATTAAAAATATTTTGTTCAGGACAGATAAAGTTTGGGAGGGAAAGTTCCAGAACATTGAATTAGTGATTAGAATTCATGGAGTTAACAAACATTAGATGATTATGTAATGAAACAACTGAAAACAGATTAATGGTAAAGATATGAATTGAAATCAGTCAGCTATGATTTGACGAAAAATGACAATGATGTAATTAGATTTCAGAGAGTTGAAATAGTGAATGACATAATAAATAAAAAGGGGAGTAATGTGACTAGGGCAAAAATTTATTACTGCCTCTTTCCGGATACATAGATGTGGTTCCAGACGTTTGATCGCCATCGCTTCGGCAAATTTCAAATGATTGGAGTTTGATTGTTTGTTAATCACTTTGAAAGACTTTAGTGTATCGACTTCATGTCCTGGGTCAAGGAGATGTTTTGAGATGATAATGATGAATATTTTTAATCCATTTGATCTTAAACTTTTCGGAATATGTTCTTTGAATCGGACGTAGGCTCTCTTTTCTGTTCTGCCAATGTAACTGCTTTGGCAGATACATGTAAATATGTATACACATTTGGTGGTAACGTGAAAGGGATACCTATCAACCTTTGATTGTGTTAAAGAACATGTTGTTTTGGACAAGACAATCAGTTTACCTGCAAGATAAGTTGTTGTCAATGAAGGTTTTAGTCTCATATTGATTGACCCTGTGACATCATCACCTTTGGATTTAAGTTTAATAGAAATAGGTTTTCTACTTGTAGTTTCTTTGGGCTTTTTATCCTTACGTTGTCCATATTTCTCGTTAAATTTCAGTGGGTATCCGTTATTTTTTAAACATCTTTTAGCATTCATTACCTCCTCTTCTAGTGTATCGGCAGTACATATTCTTTCTATTCTGTGAAAGAGTGTTTTAACAAGCGCCTTTTTGCAACCGATTGGAAAAAAGTTATTGGAATTCAGATAAATCCCGTTCCATGTGTCTTTCTTATAAACTGAACGTTGAACTGTGACATCCTTCGTTTTATTGTAATATTAAGGTTAACTGTTGTCAATAACTTCGTCATCAGGCTCTACAGTTATAAGTCCATAATTATTGTGTTGCAGAGGTCAAAATAAGGCATAATATTGAATAAGACAACGTTGGTTGTGTAAAAATGATGATAGACTTTTGCATTTGTTACGGTTTAAGTGCTTTAAAAATATACTGTGGAATAGCTTTGAAATGTGGGAAAATAACAAAATTACAGGGGATTAGGAGTTTTAGCACCGGTAGTAAACTTTTTGGTGCTAAATATCAATAATTTAGACTGTAAATCATAGTACTATAATCCAGACAGACACTATATTCTAATCCTCTCTCTTCTAAAACCTAGCTCCTAACCTTAAAACTCTCAGACCGTAACCCCTAAACCGTAGATCCTAGCCTCAAAGCTTCTTAGCCCTAGCTACTAACACTGAATACTGACCTTAACAGTCCACTCAACACCAAAATTACTACCCAGTCCTTTCAAAATACGTAATATGATGAAAATCGTGAGTTCCAGCAGCAAGCTAACCACAACAGCGTTTTAAATATGCACATCATCTAGCTTAATTTTGATTAGTCGCCCAATGCCGTCGGTATTGTATGTTTTACTATATTCATTAATAATTTTGCTAATAAAAGAATTGCGATATTCAGTGTACATTCAAACATTCACGAGCATTCCCTGTCAATTCTATGTTATAAAGTAAGTCTATATACATTTGTTTGTACTTAGTATTACTGTTCAAGAATGATCAGGAAGCCAGATCGCATTTGGTGAATTACCTAACATCTCTTACTCATTACATTATCAAAACAGTTATTAGCCATTTACGGAAAAACTGATAAACCTTTTGTAATACTTCTAACTTTTCTGCTGATAAATTTTCAAAACGTAGCGGATTTATATATTGAGTGTCTCGCTTAAACAATCAAAAAGAGTTAATAACAAAGCATATCTATGCCTTTTCATTCAACTACTAGTCAAGTGACCTCTGCTAAAATTAACAAGTGAATCGATATTGGCGTTTCTCATTACACCAGTATCTAGTATTTGAGTAAATAGACAATTCAGATTATCAGGAAGTTTTAATAAACTGTCCAATCAATTGATAAAAACCTATGAAGGACTTTTAAGTTATTTGATTTGTTTTCACAATTCCACTCATATTTAGAAATTTAACCAGTCCGTCTCACTAGCTAGCCAAGATTTTCAGTAGGCGTAAATTCATAACGTTCTTGTTATGATATGATATGTTTATCGCTTCTTCTAGAAATTGATATCATATAGATACAAAGAGAAATATTTTGCTTGTTTGAACATGATCTAAAGGTTTTTAAAATGAGAGGAGAAACAAATATGTAAAAATGTCTAAAACAAGCTATTTCGCACTCATAAAAACACAGTCTCATTATACAATGTGGTACCAAATATGTAAAACAATTCACTACTAACTTGTTCACAAATTTGTTGTAAAATTCTGATAGATTATGAAATCCGCTTAGGAATTCAATGGTAGAAATCATTTGTTCGAATCAGATTTACACTTGTTTGGTGTCACATTGAGTCACCTGTGTAATCACTTTTGAGTAATTTGATTATGTTCATTTCTCCATCTAAAGTATAGAGACAGACCAGCAAGAATTTACTCAACAATATAATATTTGGATTTCAGAGCTGAGGAATGGGTTTCCACAGTTTTAAACGTCTAAAAGCATTTTAAACATAGTTTAATTTACTGGTTATTTTAAGTTTCTTTTGACATTAGAGAAACTATTGGTTATTTCCAAATGAAACTAATAGACTTTTAGGCTAACAACACCTTGACTAAACACTTCAACTATGCAATATTAATTGAATTCTACTCATCATTTTGAGAAATCAACTTTCATAGTTTGAAAAAAGTTTATATCCATAATATTTACTTTCTACGGTGAATTTGCATTTCTAAACAGATCCTACTTCGTAAATGCAAATCTTACACGTTTACTGATGGAAAATATTTTTTCTCTGATTACAACGCATTTATGGGAAATTGCACTGTTGTAGTCATTCCGTTGATAAAAGTTGATGTAATTGGTTATGAAGGCTGTGTGTATGTTAATCCAATTAATAATTCATACTTATTAGTATTTTAATATTTAAAAAATACAGACCAACTATTTGCTTTCATATGGTTCTTTACTAAGAGCATTGATCAACTTCTGTGTTAGCAAGTATGCAACGGGCATTATATTTAATTAAACGTTCATCTCTTTATCTAGTAAGTGAACGAAATATTTCCCTACATGTATTTAATTCTATCTAGTCATTTCTATCATTCTAAATTTCCAATTAAACCTGAAGTAATACAAAGTACATTGTGTAGTGACAAACATATTTCTTCGTTACTTTCTATCAAAAACTTTTTTTTATAAAACGAAAATATTCGATACAAGAAAATCAATCACTCTTTTTTTTTAAGGAAAAACAATACAGAAATTTGGCAATTAACATTTATGTAATGTATATTGCATGATTTCAAAAACAAAAATAGATAGATAGAATAGAAACAAATAATACCTCAAAATGATACTTAAGTCATCGATACTAAAATAATGATAAAAATTTAACACAATATCTTTTCACATTTACCAGACATATCTCCTCCCCCCGCGAAAACTAAACTATTCGCCGGAAAAAAAACCAACTTCATAAATCAAAATACAAACAGTCTGACCTTTGCCGGTAGAAATATATTTTTCTGAATCAAATAATTCAACCAATCATAAGTAAGATATGTTCAACGCATACTTTTTAAATTTTAACCAATCAAATATTAAATGTTGGCTTTTGTTATTACTGAATATAATGAAGAGAACACGTGTTAAGCCTTGTGTTGTTAGTATATAGGCAAATTAATTTTTAATATATAACTTATATGAAATGAATCGAATAATAGTAAACTAGATATACAAAAATTTCATTATATTATTCATGGAAAATGCATTGAACAAAAAAAAAGAAAAAAGAACAATATTGTGGATGTATTTCTTATTATATTTATAATGCTCAGGTTTATTGAAAAAAAATTCAGGATATATTTTTGTATTTTACATTTATATATTGGTACTATATGGATATTTATTAATATCTGGTTATTTACTAATAATCTAGTTTATTCTATACCTTATCAATTTGGTGAATCTCTACAAATCAATGAAGCAGCGGTAAGTTATGTTTAAATAATCATATAATTTATAACATGATCCCGTTTTTTCTTTCCTGTAAGATTTAACTAGGTCTTCATTTATATTATCCTTATATCTGTTGATGTTGGTATACTTTTATATGGACTTATATTTACAGGATACTTTAAGTGTAATATGGAGTTATACTGATAAAAGATGAAAAAAATTTGTTAATTCCTTATCATATGCAAGTTATTTCCATACGTTTTATATGTCTAATTTAATTTACTTGAGTTTGATTTAGTTTAGCTAGATGAAATATGTTTTACAAACATTTCTACATAGATTCATCAGTAATTAACTATTTATTTAGAAAAAGCGATCAATATATTATTTAAAGAAACTTGTTTGAATGAAAGATTGCATAGAGAAATTCGTTTCAGATGACTATTTTTCCTCCATGTAATGAATGGTAACAATGTTAATTTATACAATGGACTTTGAATTTTCATTAGAAATTAAATTGAATTTGTTTACTTAGTGATTATGATTTCTACTGATTGTATGACTCATAACAATTTTATCCACCCTAAAATATTAAAAAGTGTCTAATAACTGAAGTGTATAAATAAATAGCATGTTGTTAACATACTGAAAAGTCGTAGCATGAAAATATCCGGAGTGTAGTTCAAATAAATTTCACTGATTTTACAAATACAAAAAATATATTAAGCCTATATTACTAGTCATGCTGTAAAGGTATCTCATATTAAATTTATATGTTGTAAATACAAATATTAACTGAGTATAATCCAGGACTTTTGTCATACAATATGTTTTACTTAATGAAATTAATCGATTTTTCATCTTTGAATAAAATTATTTCATTATAACACATTATTAGTAAGGGTTTAGGTTATTGTTGGTATCCACGTCAATACAGCTGACGAGTTTTAAATAAAATGAAAAGCCCATACTAGATCCCATTGGTAGCCACGATCTATCTATCCTACATGTCTATGAGTGTGATTTACGTTTAATGATAGTTAAACATATGCAAGCATATATATTGAAATAAGATTTCCAAGCATTTGACTTCAAATTGGAATAAATAACTATCATAAAGAACACTAACATTCACTTCTCTGTTAATTCACATGGGAGGAAAACTTGGATAACAATAGAACTCAATACTCTGTGGTTGATATTTTTTGACCGATGTAAAATCCTTGTTAAACAACTATTGTATGATATGAATAGTGAATGAATTGAAAAAATATTTTTCATCTTTATTTAACTTGATGTTCACCGTTGTACATTAAGTAATATTGTCTGTCTATCTTTCTACTTCACGTTATATGTACATAAGCTGTATTAAACTACTATTAAGTAGTTTGGATTTGTTAACGGTATTTATATGCACTGTAAAATTTTAATTAATTCTCAGTAAGTTAATTAAAACATGATAGTATTCTTTTCATTTTATTTTGTGAATAGTAATTAAATTTTCAATTGTTTTTTAACTCTTAAGCATTGGACCTCTTAAAACTGGATAAGTCATCAAAGTCAAGGAAATACATGTCTCACATTGACCATGATATCTTCAGACCATTAAGTTGAATTCTAACGATCTACGTTTCCATCTAGAATCAATTCGTGTTATGCTACTACGACTAATCCTTACTTTTGATGCTCACTCTCCCACTTCTCAAAATATTTGAACTTCATTATTCATGACTCCTTATTCAAACGTTAATTAGATGCTTTATCCTAATATCCAGTTATATTTATAAACATAAAATTAGTCAGGTCAATTTATAACTCAGCAATCATAGCAATGTGCAATACACAACTAATAAAGACTTCATATATAGATAATCACATTTATATTTCACTAAATAAAGCAGTCTATTGCAGAATATCATTATATCATTATAACTCGATATCTATAGTTTAACAAAAATAAGTTGCAGACACATGATGAATTGAGTAAGTAATTAGCATACATACGATCATATAAAAAAGCAATCGGAATTAATAACCGAATAAGTGATAGGGTAAAAATGTGACTTGAGAAGAATGAGTAGATCGGTCTGTACAGAGGCTAGAATAACCTATGTGGGCTTAACATAATACCAACCCCTACAAGACTATCACATGTGTTAAATCGTCTAGTAATACCATATTCTAATTTTTTTATGTTATCTGACTAATTTTAGATTGAATTTTTATTCCTAAATAAATTTAGTACAGAACTCAACTGATGTTATCTTCCACTTTACACCTATTTCATGAACTACAGTGTTTGTTTACACTTTGAAACATTGGAATATTTAATAAAGACCTAGTTGGATTGGATGCACAGTTATTATGAGTCATTATTTTTACCATTATTATAGATTTGTTTCAATATACTGTTTTTTTAAATATTTACATGTGTTGTTATGGTAACATGATAACTCCCTTCGTCATGAGTTTTTTTTCTCTCCCTCTAAGTTGATCTATTCACTAAGATATTTTATTATTTGAGTAATATAAAGAACAGTCGGGTTGGTTGATACAAATACCCTTATTATCTAATAAATAATTCAGATTTATTTTTCTTTTACGGGAAAAAAGTAATCAATTTTTAATCAATAGATGGAATTAACTAGTTCACTGAACAATTGCATAGATTATAGTCTTTCTTCTAAAAAAGAGTTGAAATTTTGTAAACGACATAAATTATTCCATGTAGAACTTCAGTTAATTAATTAATCTATTGTATTTATTATTAGTTGTTTATTGAATGTTTTAACATTCAACCATAAATGACATTATTATTATCGTTAAGTATTTATAAGTGGATTGTAGGAACCTCTGGTTATGAATTTAATGATAGTGAATATGAATCACTTTGTCCTGTTTACAGTTTCAATGTAAATTCTATGCAATTTATGAATTCAATTGATTTGATTCTAGTGTCCTAAAGTGAATGATACAATCAATGTATTACGTAACATCATACTGATCTCTTCCAATGTATGATATATATGCTGTACTGATTAAATTTACTCAATAAAATAAATAGAATGTGATGAGTTAGCTGAATACCGTGACAAAAATTTTTATCGCATTGTTCAATTTGTATCATGGAATTGCTAGAATCCGCATTGTTTACAAATAATTTCTTTGTTTTATTTTACTCAGTGTTACATGCAGTTAAGTATCTAAGCTGTTAGTAAATTACACTGTTCATTTTAACAGTTTAAGACAAAACTAGGATTTTATTTAGTGTGTTTAAAAGCGTAACGGTAGACTTCAGTGGTATAATACAAAATAATTAAATTGTTCCTCATTACTTTTTATTTGGTTGCAACGACACAGGTGATGAGAACGGGTAGTACCGAAATTCTAAAATGGTTGACAGGTGTAACTTACCATAATAAATAATTTAACTTGATGTGGTGGAACGTATTCAACTTTGTGCTCAGGAAAATTGCCTTTTTTTATATTATCCTTTGTGTCTGCAATTTTATAACTTCATAATTTGATTTTGAGTTGTCTTTGGTTTGATGTCACTTACGATCAAACATGTAGACTTGAAACTAATTCAAGAATGGAAAGAAACAGTTATCCACTGATCAGTAGCTTCTTTTATTTCCCTAGTTCGTATTGTCTGCTCCATTAACTACATGTTATATACTACTTGTAAGTAGTAAAATAATTTCCACAATAGGTCTCACTACTAAATCTACAAATTTATTTCTAATTTTTTTCTACCTCCACTAATTTTCCCTATTTTTCTCTGCATTGTTTAGTCTTTGTTCTACAAAAACGTTAATATTTCTTTAAAAGTCCTGAACCATTATTTCAGTTGATTTTATGCATCAGAATTCGTGTTATTTGTGATATATTACTTATTGAAAATAAGTACAACAGATTCTATTGGTTAAATCAACATACTCTAATATTATCTTAGTTTGTAACCAAATTAATTACGTTATAATCAGCATAATATCTAACACTAATCAGTAGAAACTAAAGTTATTACTTCCTATCAATATTGTAAGAAGGGAAATTCGTGTGATAACCAAAACTGTACATTCAGTTGTAGTGATAAATTTTCATGTAAAATCAAATCAAAGAATGAAAGTAGTATGGATAAAAAAATGAATGTCTGAATATAAGTCATAAATCCATCAAAAATGTTATCGAAAACGTCCGCACCTTTGGACATGACTTAACTCAATAGCTGATGGCCTTATGATTCCACCGGATTTAATCCATACATTACATATAGTCAGTAATGTTCAAGAATGTCCTTATGTAGGACTGGTCTGCAGTACACATCTATAACTCCCTCACTGATTAAACTCAGAACCTTCGGTCCTGCACACAAATGCACAACCTCTAGACCACTGGTCCAGTGCTCTGCGGTTCATAAGTCTAGCTTCAGTCGGTTTACTAGAGTGTGCAAATATCTTCCGTTGTCTTCATTGAATACATTCCTCATACCAGGCAGGGTTGATCTCTACTAGAACTATGGAATTTTCTCTCGAGTTTGGTCACCAGTGAGTACTCATGTTTATCGTGTAGGGGACTTGTGGAGATTATTGAATATTGAATGAATCTCTGCAACCTCTTTATAGTTATTTTTCTGAAACAAAATATACCTTTAATTAGTTATAATGTGATCTTAAAGGTAATGCGCGATTTCATAACGGAATTTTTATACACTCGAATTTTGGTCGAAATTCTCAACATAGATATGCAAAACAAAATAAAAATCCTTGGTTTATTTGTCATTTGATATATATATATATATATATAATTTCGTTCTCAGTAAAATAACCATAAATTACTTAGTTAACAAATCGGCCAAATCTATAGACAGAATACTTTTAATTTTTATGATTATACTTTTTTAAGGATGTAGGTGGTTGACTATATTTGGTTATTTGCATTTATCATGCTGACTCACATCTTAAAAAACAAATATATTTTATGACACATAAGTGAATACAGTTGCTTAACATAAAAATTATCAATAATTATAA